GGGGGGAGAGAAGAGAGAAGGAAGAGAGGGAAGGGGAAAAAGAGAGAGGAGAGGGGGGAGAGAAAAGGAAGAGAGAGAGAGTAGGGGAGAAAGAGAGAGGAGAGGGGGGGGGAGACAAAGAAGAGAGAAGGAAGAGAGAGAAGGGGAGAGAAAAAAGAGAGAATTGTTTTCCTTCATTGACCCTCAGGGGGAGAGAAGTAGCTGCCTTGTTCATCTAGAAGTCTGATTTCACCCCCTTTAAGAGATGACCCAAAATAGGCTCCCTTCATGAAGTCTCCCTCACGCTCATAAAGCTCTCACTTTGTTCGAGGCCAAGAAAGTCGACTCAAGGGCACCACAATCTCTTTCGCCCTGAGTGCCGCTCTCAAATGCCATGCCGGCAGCGCAAAGCTGCTGCAGGGCTCCTGCCTGCTCCAAGAATTCCAACTGGAGGGAAGAAAAAGGAAAAAGAAACGTGGATGGTTCTGAGCCCTCCTTTCCTGCGAGGAATTTCAAAGAAACTGAGGTCATCGTATCTTTTTTTAAAAATAGGAAGTGGTAGGACTCCAATTCCCAGCAGCCACTCAGCACACCTAATGGGGAGGGGTAATTCCATAGTAACACGAAAGCTATCAATTATTATTTTTTTTCCTGTTGAAACTCCAACGATGGATTCAACCAACTTGATTCCGTGCAAAGAATTTCCTGAGCAAAAAATGCTTTTAATCAAAGATGGGGCCATATAAAAAGTACAACTTTCCTTTTTTAAAAAACAAAAACAAAAAACACAAAACAAAAACCTTCTACCTGCCAAATCGTTTGGTGCTGAGACAGGCAATCTGATCCTCCCTCTCTAATTGCTGGGGACAACTTCATCCCTCTGTCACCTCTGGCCGTGCTCCCTGGGAGGATGGGAGTTGAAGGATGGGACCGAAACACCGAAGGGCCACTACTGCAGTCTCCCAAACCAGAAGCACCGCTCCCAAATCCCCAACTGGAGCCCTAAGCAGCCTTACCTGGATGTGGTCCGATCTATTCTGCACAGATCAGGCGTTTTCTCCAGAATAGCAGAGGCGTGGGGGAAAAAACAGCAGGTTGAAGTTAGCAGCGCTGGGTTATGCAGACCAACAGGCTTTATATATCAAGAAGCCAGGCATTTTCCAAGTAGTACAACTGGATCACGTAATCAGGAGAGTTCTTAACTCGAAATCTGGGAGAAACACAGGGAGGCAGAACCGGATAGATTAGTGGCAAGACATGAAGGATCCAAGCGGATGGACTAATTCCCGGTGTCATCTGAGGCTGGCTGAGTTGGAGTTAAGGCACCCTCCCAGTAAGAAGTCAGATTGTGGTTTCCAACACACACACCCCAACCTCCACTGGCATGCTGTTGTTTTAATGGCTTTTTTCTTTGGGCTAGTTAAATAGAAATAAACCCCTTGCAAAGGCAAAATCTTTCAAAAAGTGGTGCAAAAAAAATAATAATCAACCATTAAAAAAAAAAAAACCCTACATACCAACTGTGTGTTTATGCATGGAAGGGGCACCTCATGAAATAAAACCGCTAACTTTTAAGCGTGTTTGATCTGTTTTAGTGCAAAACCCTGCACTTGGCATTTACTCTAGAGTTCTGCAGAGTAAATATTGAGTCAGTTGTACTTCCGGAACTGTCCGGTTTGGTACAGCAAAGACAGGTAGTCAACAACTGCTCATTTAGCGACCATTCAAAGTTACGTCATCAATGGAAATGGTGACTTTTAAGTGGTTTTCACACTTAACACCATCGCAACACCCTTATGGTCACGTGATCAAAATCCAGACGATCGGCAACTGGTTCATATTTATGACCGCTGCAGTGTCCAGGAGTAACATAATCCCCTCTTTGCGACCAATGGGGAACCCTGTTTCACTTAAAAACTGTGTTAACTAATTTACCAACTGCAGCGACTCACTTAACGACTGTGGCAAGCAAAGTCACAAAATGGGGCAAAACTCACTTAACAAACTTTCTCACTTAGCCACCTAAATTCTGGGCCTCAATCGTGGTCGGGAAGTCGAGGACTACAGGTAGTCCGCGGCTTACCACACAGTTCATTTAGTGACCATTCAAAGTTACAACGGCACTGGGGGGGGGGAAGTGACTTAGGACCATTTTTCACCATTACGACCATCGCAGCTTCGCCACGGTCCCATGTTCAAGATTCAGGTGCTTGGCAACTGACTCATAGTTATGACGGTTGCAATGTCCCAGAGTCACGCCATCCCCTTTTTTTGAGACCTTCTGACAAGCAAAGTCAATGGGGAAGCCAGATTCCCTTAACGACCATGACACTCGCTTAACAACTGCTTAACTCGCTTAACAACTGCTTAACTCGCTTAACAACTGCTTAACTCACTTAACAACTGCAAGGATTCACTTGAACTGTGGAAAAGAAAGGTTGTTAAAGCGGGGCAAAATTCACTGAATAAATGTTTCCCTCAGCAACTGAAAAATTGGGCTCAATTGTGGTCGTAAAACGAGGACTACCTGTAACAAGCCCCCCCCCCCCCATTTAAAACAGTTTTTGTCGCCCCTCTCCCCCCACCAGGGGCCTCGGTGGCGAATTACCAGGCCTCAGAAACCCGGAGGGACCCCAAGGCCCAAAAGGCGCGGCCTGGGGCCTGGTTTGGGGGTCCGAGAAGGGCGGGCTGGGATGACAGCTGGAAGGCCTGCCCTGTTTCCCCCTCAGAGGCGTCCCAGGCCCGCAGTGGACCACGGGTCTCGGGGTCCGAGGCCGGGAGCGTCTCCTCAGGACTCACCAGGCGGGACGGGGCGGCGCTTTGCCCGGGAACCTTCTCCCTGCCGCCTCCGCCCCTGACCGGGGGAGGGAAGGAGGGAAGGAGGGAGGGCTGTGACGGGCCTCCCAAAGGCTCCAGGCCGGAATCCGGGCCCCGCAGCCCGTGGTTTCCGCCTCTCCTCAAGGGCAACCCGCTTGATTCCCTTCCCGAACTTCCCGGAATAATTTAAAAAAAAAAGGAGGAGGCCCCCAAACGCCAGAGAAACAGCTTAGCACCGAATTAGGAAAAATAAAATGCATTTTCTGAAGGGAAGGGAGAGGGGACCATAAAGTACGGCGGCGTCTATTCTATGAAATACGGTAGCGTGGCTCAATAATTCACTACTGGAACAAAATGGGCGACAATCGTATTTCCTGGGCAGTCATTGACGCCTATGAAGGGATTTTTTAAAAAAAATACATGCACGCCTATTCTGGGTATTACGGTAGAGGGGCGCCTCCATGACCTTCACACCCGCGAGACGTTGGATTCTAAGGGGGGAAACTTTTCAGCAACGTACGTTAACCATAGAGATGGGGTCGCAGGCCGCTTAGACACTTGCACATGCGCTATCTCGCGTTGCCTTTCAAGAGGGAGGGAGGGGGACAGAACTCTTGCCTTACTATTGATATCGAGAGCCCCGCCTTTTTTGTGGGCGGGGCCGGGAGTGGCAAAGGCGGGGCCAAGGTTCAAGCGCTTTTGCCGTTGCTTATTGGCTGAACGCCGTGGCTATCTGCTCGGTTCAAGGAAGCCGATTGGGCTGACTGGCTACGAAGGCGGGAGAAAAAAAGGCAACCCCAGCCTCAAAAGCAAAACAAGAACAAACTTTTTGTGCAATCGAGTGAAATCTTCACCTTTATACTGAATTATCCTGGGCTACTGAGCACGCCTCCGTTTCTAATTTTAAACTATGTCCACACACCTCCCTCCACACGCCAAAAACTAACCTCTCGTTGCAACCCTCTTGCTAAAACTCAAGATTTGCACCATCCAGAATTTTCAAAAATATCTCCCCACCCACCCCGCCTTGGATTAAGGGGTGACACCACCACCACCACCCCGATCCAAAAACTTACATTGCCTTGAGGGGGAATCAAAGACCAGAAAACGTCCCTTTCCCTCCCGAAACGCGGAAATCCTGAGGTTTTGCGGCTCCCGGGCACTCTGCACGTGCTCAGAGGCTCGGCAAACCAAGCCTCCTTAGTAGCTTTGCAAAAAAAGAGGCGGCAATCGCCTCCACCCCCCTCCCCCAGTCCTGGTTGCTTTCTATGCGGAAAGACTGGGGCGGCAGGGGATGATGGGATCTGGAGTCCAATCTCTGGGGTGCACACACACACACACCCCGTCCAGGGTATGGGGCCCCGTTTCCACTGATTCTCCGCCGCGGAGCTCAGCCTGCCATGGGACCCGCCTTCCTGGCTGCTTGCCCCGCCCCTCCGCCGGCCACGCCCCTCCGCCGGCCACGCCCACCCTGACATCAGCTGGGCTTGCCTGGCATTAAGGCGAAGAGACCCATTTCCTTGACCGCCGCCGAGCGACCCATGTCCCCCCTGGTCACCGCCGCCTGCTGCTGCTGCCCCCGCCGCCGCCCGTCGCCGCCTTCTTCCCGGGCCAGGTAGGGACTAGCGGGCGGGGAGGGAGCAGCCCAGCCCGACAGGAAGGGAGGCCAAGCTGAGTCTCGCCGGCTTTTGCATCCCCACCCACCACCCCAAAAGCCCGTAGGATGAGAGGCAGCCAAGCCAAATGCCCCTCCTTCCTGAAGACCCTGGCAAGAAAGAGCAAAAGGAGCAAGAGGGCCTCTGAGCATGTCCAGAGTTGGAGCAGAAGGAGCAAGAATGCCCCTCTGAGCATGTCTAGAGTTGGAGCAGAAGGAGCAAGAGTGCCTCTGAGCATGTCCAGAGTTGGAGCAGAAGGAGCAAGAGTGCCTCTGTTTTTAATTCATTTTTTTAAAAAAATTTGAATAGTGTATTGTCAGGGCACATCGTTTACAGAAAAGCAAAGAAAGAACAAAAAGGAATATTGACATATATACTAACAACAATAGTAATAGTGTAACAGGACAGTTTTAACTGGATTTCTCTTTATTTTAGCTTATTTGTAGTTCTGTTGGTTATACTGGCATATTTATAATTATAATCCATCTTTATATTTCATTCATACATAGCAATAATCTTCATTTAATTCCTACCTCTTTTCTCTAACCACTGGTAACATCTATTCCATGTTAAGGAAACATTCTGTGTCTTCTTTGTCCTTTATTTTTAATGTCAATCTATCCATCTCTGCACAATCGAATATTTTTTCCGAATTACATCCTCATCTGATGGGAGCGTCCTAATTTTCCCAGTATTGTGCAAATACGATCCTTGCTGCTGTCAGTACATGCAAAACTAGATCTATGGTCCCTTTATCAGCCCTCCGCCATTTATACCCAACAAAACTATTTCTGGTTTCAGATCTATAGGTTGCTTGATCATCTTTTCCAATAGTGTGATGTATTTTCACCCAATATTTTCTTGCTTTCATACAAGTCCACCACATATTATGATAATAAGTACCTGGGTTCTGATTGCACTTCCAGCATGTCCAGCAAAAGGGGCAAGAGTTCACCTGAGCATGTCCAGAGTTGCACCAGGGAGCTTTAGGAACCAGGTGGCTTTTTTTTTTGCCCACTTCCTGCTTGCAACCGTTCTGTGTCCTTGGGATTTGAGGGCGCTAGTCCTCATGATGTTTGTCGAACCCTCTCAGCTCTCTCCAGAGGAAGGAACTGACCCTGCAGGACTTACCGGAGGACCTCTTCCTCGACGTGCTCTCCAGGGTTCCCAAGCAGGACCTGATCCACAACTGCCGGCTGGTCTGCAAACGGTGGCGTTACCTAGTAGACCTCCCCGTGGTCTGGAAGAGGAAATGCGAGCAACTGGGTTTCCGCCTGGAGCAGCTGGAAGGCAGCCTTCCCGATTGGAGGGCCTTCTTCTTCAGTTTGAGCGCCAGGAATCTCCTGAGGAACGTTTGCGGAAGAGGTTGGTCCTTGCTTTGAAAGGCTCTTCGGAGCCAGGTGGCGATTCCCGGAGCCTTTCCAAAAGACAGAGCCACCCCCCCACCCACCCCACAAAAAGATCCATGCGGTTAACTGACACACGCAGGAGCACGGCCCTTTAGGAACAGGGAATTTGCACGCACGGCTTTGTGTGCAAGAATGCCAGTGAGAACAGCCATAGCAATAGCCCTTAGACTTATATACCGCTTTACAGGGCTTTCCAGCCCTCTCTAAGCGGTTTACAGTGTCGGCCTCTTTGCCCCCAACAATCTGGGTCCTCGTTGGACCCACCTCGGAAGGACGGAAGGCTGAGTCAACCTGGAGCCTGGTGGGATTCGAACTGCCAAAGTCAGCAGAAGGAGCCTGCAGTACTGCACGCTAACCACAGCGCCAAGGGTTTCTCTCCTCCCCGCCCCCTAAAAAAAGCTAGCTTTCAGCATGCAGGGAGTGCTTCAAGTCTAGCAAAGGAAGCCATGAGAGGGAAAGCAGAGACCCAGATGAGAACTGGCAAACCGGGTGGACCAATAGGGTTTCCTGCCTAAGCTGGGGTTGGAATAGAAGACCTCCAAGGTCCCTTCCAACTCTGTTATTCTGTTCTAATTCCAACACCTGGTCATTTCTTGTTAATTTGTCTTCTTCTTCTTCCTCTTCTTCTTCTTCTTCTTCTTCCTCTTCTTCCTCTTCTTCTTCCTCTTCTTCTTCCTCTTCCTCTTCCTCCTCCTCTTCCTCCTCCTCCTCTTCTTCCTCTTCCTCTTCCTCCTCTTCTTCTTCCTCTCCTTCTTCTTCTCCTTCTCCTTCTCCTTCTCCTCCTTCTTCCTCCTCTTCTTCTCCTTCTCCTTCTCCTTCTCCTCCTTCTTCCTCCTCTTCTTCTCCTTCT